TAAATGCTAGTTTTAAACGAATGCAATGTCAGAAATTACAAAGACGTCATACCGAAGAATTCTGTATTTTGGCTTGAAAAAAAAAACGAAAAAATAGTGACTTTAAATATGTTAACTGGTCGAATTTTTTGGAATACATTTTCGAATACCTGGAATTAGGTTAGAAAATTTTTTCAATCAATTATTTAAAATATTTTTGCAAATAACTAAATTTCTTTTAAAAAAAACATTAAACATTAAATAATGCCGCTCTGAATTTTTTTTAATAAAAAAGTTAAAAAAATATTTATTTTTGTATAATTTCGCATGGAACGCTTTTTTTTAATGTGTTGATCATAATTCATATAAATAACTAAGATATCGGAGCAATGATGCGAGTGTTTAACCAAATCTGTATTAGTATAGACAAGGTTAATGATGACGTAGATCATGACATCCACCATCATCCTCTCTCTCTCTCTCTCTCAACGTTCTAAATATTGTCTTTGTCTGAATCATTAATATGGCGTTTCCCATTAAACGTAAAATGATGTATGCTTCTTCTCGTCAAATTTTGAATAACTAAATAGTTCGTTTAATTGCGTTAAGGAGTTGGTTTGGACAGAAAATAATCGATTTGATGAAATAGCATCATTGTTTTTTTCTTTAAGGACAATTAAATTTGGAAAAACACTGGTTATTAGTTTCGGTTTTAAAAGATTATTTCGACTTTTAACAGAATTACGATTTCCATATAAATTATCATTCGATTCTATATTATTTGATTAAAAGATATTGGTTAAACGCTAGCCTTGCTCCTAATACTTTTTATCATAAATTATAATATGTATTTTGTTTATTTTAGAATTTATTATATTTTTGAGAAATATTTTTACTATATGAAATTAAAAGGAATTTTTGATGCAAAAATTATAATTCAAAGCTTTAGAATCATTTTTGTCAATAGGTTAAAAATAGGGTACTTACACTTTAAGAAGGAGATCACGGATAAGTAAACATGTGACTTATGACGTCTGCCCCAGCTGATCGTTTAAAAGCAAAATGGCGTGATAGTTCTCCATATAATTTAGAATGTTAATAAACGAGAAGTTAATTAAGTACAGTGCTGTCTCGCACATCAAATTTGTTAAAATTTAACTCTTTCTAGTCTTCGTCTTTTACTTAACTTAGATTTATTATTTGTTCATGTACTTTATTGTAACCGTGATATAATTTTGTTTTGTGTACCTCAGAACTTCGATGCATAGTTACTTTGTTCATGTCTTAATTGACTTTGTGCCTGTCTCTGTGTTAAGTAAGAAAATTATAGTGAAAGAATTAAGATATTTGTGAAAGAATATAGAATGTGTCACTTAAGAGAATTGATAATTGAGGGCTTGTCTTACTCGAAATGGAATGGATTTTGATTTTATACATCAGGAAAATTTAGCGAAATTATATAACAATTAAAGCTAAAGAAGATGATCAGGTTAATATAGCTCCTTCTGTATAAAAGATTTCGTTTGGATGAGAATAATCTACAATTATTTTAATTTTAAAGCAAATGTTAAGGATTTAGTACAGAGTAAATTTTGGTAAGAAAGAGTTTTACAAATAAGTAAGTTCACAACAAAAAATCTCAGGCCGTATTTTTCTTGCTAGTGTTACTTTATCGAACCATGATCTCAAGAAACAATGAAACCTCTTAATATTTCTTTCTTCTTCTGTTTTTTTTTTCGTAAGACTTAGTTTGTAACATTATTTTTTTTCGTTAACTTGAGTACTTAATATAATTTATAATGCCTAATATTAGCCTAATATTGTTAAAATTATTATTTATAATATGACATTGACTATGCAATATTTTTAAGTATTTTTAATACGTTAAGAATTTTAAACAGAGTAATATTAAGAGTGGAAAAAAATTTATTATTATTAATGTTCTTTAAAACACGTCTGATATGAGATATGGTGGGCTCACAAATGTATATTAGTCTACACAAAATAGCGTAATCTCGATTCATTTTCTGCCCATGTTTGTGGATGAAGTTACATTAAACTGCGACATAACTTTTCCCTTAATTGAGATCTATGCAAGGATTTGTGACAATGATACGCTAGAAGACATCGTTAACGATGAAATAAAGTAGTTACCAAGTGCAGTTTATCTATTTTTCTCTTTATCTTTTTTCCATCTTTGTCATAAATATTCTTTTCAACCCTCAGTATGGCGTGTAATTATAGTTTCATTCCTCCGAATTTTTATACTCAGCTTTCTGGACACATGTATTTCACACATGTACTAAATATTGTATCAAGACTATATTAATAGAAATATGATGCGAATATTTTCTCAAATTATTTAAATGAATTTGGAAAGCATTCCTGGAGTACAACACTTGCTTAGTAGCTTTCTGTCATATTCTATCTATAGTTTCTTGCTCGGATTTTGTAGGGGTTAAACTTGTTTTGTATTATGTTTCGTATTTCTGGATATCTTCAAAATCAATTTTATGGAGACTGCTCATAATTCAAATAAGTAAGGGCATCTATTTGCCTACTACTATATTGATTTATAACAGTTTGCTTAGTTAGTCACAGTGACTGAATAAAAAAAATAGTTAGAAACTTCAAGAATACGCAACTTCAGGAATACGCATTTATGGAATATATACGCATATGCGCAAAAATAGATTCTTCAGCAATACTCAAACAAAGAAGAGTGTTGGCTAAAATATGTATTCTTTTTCTTAATGTCTAACTTTGTTAAATTTAAAAATAAACCTATTCTTATTCAAGAGAGAAATTCCTTTGAGGACTTTATTTAGAATGCTATTAAAGAGCAAATGTTGTAACAGTTTCTGATATTTAATAATTCTGTTTTAATTATTCACATATTTGAAATAAGCTTGCAACTTTGTCTATAAAAATTCCAGATCAGGTCAAAATTTATTCAGAGTAGCAAAGTTTTTTATTACATTTGTCACATTCTCACATTGTTTGTCTTTTGTTTTGCTACATTGACATTTTATATGTTAATTCCTCTTTTGTTTGTTATATTCGTCTTTTGGCTGTTACTTTTACATTGTATTTGTTACATTTACATTGTATTTGTTACATTTACATTGTATTTGTTGCATTTACATTGTATTTGTTACATTTACATTGTATTTGTTACATTTACATTGTATTTGTTACATTTACATTTTGTTTGTTATATTTGCACCTTGTTTGTTACGTTTACATTTTGTTTATTACATTTTATACGTTGCATTTCCTTCGGATAGGTTGACGATTTTACCGATAATTAAGTTTTACAGACAACTTATGTGAAATAAATTAAAATTTGTTTTACTCAGAATTATTTTTATTCACCGACTATGAATAAATTAATAAAAAGTTTTTTTGATTAGAACATATTTGGAATAAATTTTATGAAAAATTCAACATCCGACACATAAATTGCAATGACAGAAATGTTTCAATTTTTTTTCAAAAAATGTAATTTTTCTGTTTAATTTTTACTCTCTCTAAACTCTGACTTAAAAAAGTCATTAATATCAATAGCCTTAAAAAAGTTGTAAGTGGGTTTTCAACTCGGAATCCTCTAGATTTTCAAGAAAAATGGCAATGAGTTTAATTTCAGCTGGAAGAAGAAATCTCTCTCTTTCTCAAGTTCGTGACGTATGACTTAATCTTTCTTATAAGTGATATAGTATTACCTTTTTAAAATCTTTGCCCAGATATTTCCAAGATTATAAGAAAACGAAAGTTTAGGGACTTAATATCAGAAATAATTGATTTCGTGTAACTCGGCTAAAAAAATCTGCTTTAATCCCCTGATTGTACCAAGAAGTGCAATAGTCACTGATAGTGTCATTGCACGCTTCGGTTATTTTTTATTGTCTTCATGGTCCAGTGATATTTACTCTTAACTTGATGCTTATTTATTTACCTGCTACTATTTTGCTATTAATTGTTTTTTTCTGAAATTAAGTTTCAACAAACACTTTTTTCTTTTATTCATTAAAAGGCAAGCATCATATTCAGAAAGATAAGTAAATGAAAAAGCACTTTCAAAAGAGGTATTACAAAATCAAATATAATAATGGTGGGAAGTGATTTGTTTAATTAAAAATATATTTGAGTCTAAATTTTGAATATGGTATTGATAAATATAGGGGAGAAACGTCTTCAGTGTATATGGTCAAGTTTTAGGAAAAACACAATTGTAAGGTTATACGGTAAGAAAAATTAGCAAGTTCAGAAAAATAAAATAAAGTTGATTAAATACAGAAATGCTTTGATTACTTTTACATTTAGAAGAAAGCTTTTAGACTTTGAATATTTTGAAAATGAAGTTTTTCTTCGTTGGAATTGCTAAAATTGCTTCTATACTAAATAAATAATCCCAAGAAACTGAAGTGGTAAGATATTATCTGATTAAAAAACTTCATTCGCTCCCAAAATACATAAAAATATAATAAATAACCGTTGATATGCTTCAAGAGATTTAAAAATAAGCGTCAGTTTTTAATAATCGTTACTTCTGGCAAGTCATGAAAATGGGGCCCCAATTTTCGAAGCGCTTGAAATATGTCTTCTATTATTCCCCTTTTTTATGTATTTTGGAATCGAATGGATTTTCTTAAATGGAGGTAAATAAATTACTTCTATGCTATTTTCCATGATAAATATAAAATTAAATCTTAAAGATAAAACTACGTCTCTAACCTTAACAATTAACAACACTATCGCTGGAAAAGTGTTTAAAATCAAAACTGTATAGCAAATAATTTATTAAAAGCAAAATTTCAGGTTGAGCAACTCTTTCTTATAACCTGTCGTACGAAAATGAATTGTTTGATTGCCTAAAATTAAAGAAAACTAAAACAACAAATAAAGCTGGACTTCTCACAGAAAAATATTAATTAAGAAGAAAGTAAACTTACTGAATTGAAAGCAGAATTATGATCTCATTAAATAAATCCAAATTAAAAAATCTTTTGTATTTTTTCCAGGTGTCAAGATGTGGTTATGTAGTTATTTGGATGGCATTTTATTTCATGTTAGAACCTGTTCCATTACCGGTGACAGCTCTCATTCCAGTATTTGCCTTCCCATTACTCGGAGTATTGTCAACTACAGAGGCTTGCGCTCCCTACATGAAAGTCAGTTCCTCTTTTAAAATATATGATTATACCGATTCAAAAAAAACATTTTTATCGTAGAAAATATTGAGTGAAAACGGTCATCGTGGTTTTGAGTTTTAAAAAAAATTGTTTTTAAAATTGTCTTTCAAAACTCGTAAAAAATTTATTCGAAAATTTATATTTTTACATACCTTGGAGAAGCATTTAGGTAATACTAATGGCTTTTTCTCTAATTTTTATTTTGAAATTTTTCAAAACAAATTACAAACTGATAAGATCTTATATCTTTTATCTTGCCCTGAACAATTCCGAATCAGAAAGAGAACGTTCCTAAATACTTAGCTAGTTTTAAATTAGGTTCATAAAATTATAGGAGCAGGTAAGTATTTTTCAAGAATAGTTTTAGAACATTTTATCCATTAATTTTTTACATAGTTGTTTTTCTTACTTTTTTTTTTCCTTTTATAAAAACTAGTGAGTTAGTGTCGAGGTAGTAATTAGTAAAAAAGGTAAAGATTTATAAGTTTTTTTTTTAAAAAATTGGTTCATTTTAATTTATTTCTTATCGTACTCTTAAATACAAGTTTAATCTTGATTTAATTTTTATTATAATTTTTTGATAATTCAGTTTAACGATAAAAAAGAATTAATTAGTTGAAACTTTACACCATTCGGTTTTATAAACATCAATTTCATATATTAGGGAAGAAACGTATAAAAGTGTAAAAGAGCGAATTTTCCTCCCAATTTTCCCAACTATATTGGTTCTAGATCAACTCCTCTAAGTAAAAAGAAAATGAAAAAAAAAAATTAAAAAGATTAAATTCAGACTTTAAGAATGACCTTGTTTCAAGAAGTGTCTTGGAAAATCGAATTGAATAAAATTTCAGTTTTGACTTTAAAACGCACTCTTAAGAAATACTAAATTTAACCCTATGATTGCTAACTGCTTTAATTTGAAGCAACCGTTGGGGATTGAAAACCTTTTTCTTTCGTTATATTGATTTTGTCGGAGGAGCATGAAAGGATTATAATACAGCATACAATTCAAATATTATTACTACCTTATCCACAACAAAATTGATCCAAACATTTTTTCTTTATTTTCAAAGAATATTATTTATTCATCAACGGGAAGGTTTTACAATTTTTATGCATTTCAGTGACCAGCTTACATCGATGACTAAAACGGTATGCAGAAATGTGTTCCTACCACTCTCATAATTTCTTAAAATTGTCTTGCTGTCGGACAAGGTTTTAGTGGTCTTCCTCTTCGTGTAACTCAAATGCTGGTTAGTTCCATAAAAAAAGTTCTCCGTGAAAGCTAGTTTGTTCCGATGTTTTATACAGGAATCCTCTTGTGGACATGGACAGTCGCAAACTCAGAATTGCGTCAACATTTTAACGATGGTTATAAAATAAAGCAAAATAAAATAACTCTAAAATTAGTTGGAGTATTTAAGAATAGTTTTCGAAAAAGTTTATAAGCTTATATAGGAGTCGAAAAAAACTAATTTATAATACCTTTAATGCCTTAACTCGGAGTTGTTCAATCATTTTATAAAAAATAATTGTTATCTCCGGTATTTTTTAAGGAAAGTAACTAATTATAGTCCTAAATATTATTAAAAATCGAATAAAAAAATGAAGCAAAATTGAGACCAATGCACAATTAGAAATTGGAATATTTCTTATTATATCAAAAAAGAATTATTTTTATAACAGATACAATTATTAAAAAATAATTTTCGGATTTGCAATTTATAATAAAGTTGGAATAATGAAATAACTTTTCATGTATTTTAAGCAGTTCGTAAATTTTGGTCTCGTTTCCTGAAAAGTTGCAAAGCTAACATAATGGTTGAAAGTAAACATGATAAAAAAAATCATCTTTCTGTATTTGCTTAATTCAAGGAAAATAAAACGATTTTTTTCAACGTATTATCTTATGATTCGTGATCAACGAAAGAAAAAATTGTTTTTATGCTCGCATTATCTCATAGAATAAAAAAAAAGTCTGTTTCAAATTAATTCTGTCATCACCTTATATAGATCTTCTACTTCTTAACAATCAATGAGAAACTGATATTTCGATTTTCTAGAAAGTCTTATGTTGGGTAATTTTCCTATAAATCACTTTTCAAAACGCGTTCATATTTAATCACAAAAAATCTGTTTCATTATCATATTTATTTTACAAATTTTGATAAGCCAAATAATTGATTTGAAAAGTGCAATTTGCCTTTATTTATTTGTAAAAACAATCGTAATTGAATACAAATAATTACGCTCGCACTAAACTGTGGGAAATAGTTTAAAAATACATATAAAGATACATATTTATAAGCACACTGAATTAATTTTTTTACATAAATTTTATGCAAATGATTTTTAAACAATAATTTCTAATAAGTTCTTTCAACAACAGTACGCTTCTAGTATATAATTGATAATATTTAAGTTAATAATTTACTTGAATATAGTTTTTCGCATTGACGAGATAAAACGAATTTGTTTAATCATTTCTTAATTTATTTGCGAAAAAAAAATGTTTTGTGTGTCTATAATTAAATTTTTTCAGACATGGCATTTTGCATTGCTTTTATAAAACTTACGATATATATATATATATATATATGGGTCATTCTCACAAAAACAGTCATTTTCATGTCCCCAGTATATTTTATTTTTGTTTTACAGCTCACGAAAAAAAAAATTCAGGGAAAGTGTCCTTCAGAATGCAAGCTAACAAAAGAATAAAAATAAAATTATCAATTTTTATTTTTTATTTATTGTATTTTATGTAATTAAAATATACCAATATGTCATTCCCTCACTTGTCCCCACTGCTGATTTAAAAAAAGAAAAAAATTGTTTCTGAAATAATTTTTTTTTTTTTACAAATTCGTGTTTTTTATTTCAGAATACTGAAATATAGAATTCAGAAAATCAATTTTAAATTTAATTTCTGATAAAAATATTAACACAGCACTATTTTAAACTTTGTCCCCAGTG